TTGAATGAAACTAATTGACACAGGTCTATGTGGATCCCAACAGTTTGATAATTTATTATCTGTATTGGTTGTGTACCTATTAGGGAACTGATGCACAATACGTTTTCAACGTCCTTCTATTGCTGGGCAGTGTGCATCATTCATCGACGACCATCGCCAATCCCAAACGTCTCCGGGCGCCGATAGAGAGCTCGGGCTGGCCAGCTGTAAACAGTTCATGTGCATGTCAATATATCAGTGGCGGAGATGTCAAAAATCAAAACAAATGTATTCTGTACTAATGTGGCGGTCACGGGCAGCATACTATCAGCTCGTACGCTTGATGTTATATTTTATGGAGGGTTTTATGAGCGTCGTTGCCCAGTGTCGTCCAGGATGCAATATAAAACGGTATACGTAACGCAAGCATCGATTATTAATTTCTTAATTTCATCCTGAGGTTCGTTTAACCTAACCTAACCTAACCTTTTTGTTTTTGTTTACATATGTATTGGCAGCTAAGGATGGGACGGACCTTTCGGGCATATCACCCCTTAGTCGCCATCGTTTACTGTATGAGAACAAATACAATTTATACATCATATAGGTTTACGAAGGGTTGGGGGCCTCTAACCACCCTGGGGTGCGCTCAGGTGTACAATAGTAAACTTAACTAATTTTGAGAAGCTGCTTGTCTTCGGCGTTCCTCTCCTTCTTTGCTGCTGATGACTTTGTGGATGAAGTCGTTCATGGCTTCCCAGTTTTTTTGACTTCAGCATGGTTTCGATCATGTTTTCTGGCTCTAGTATTGTGGCTGTTATATGCTCCAAGACGTTCTTCTCGTTGTACCATGCGTCGCATACAATCACCGTGTGAAGCGCGTCGTCTTTGTGGTGTCCGCAGTACCAGCACTCGGGGGGTATTCAGCTTCCGAAATCTGTTCAGGTACTCCGCGAAGCAACTATGCCCGCTTAGCACCTGAGTTAGGTGGAAGTTCACCTCGCCGTGCCTTCGGGTTATCCACCGCTTGATGTCTGGGATTAGGCGGTGAGTCCTTTTTCCTCTATTGTCGTTGTACCATCGGTTTTGCCATTCTACCGTGATGTCTTCATCTGTTTGGGGGTGATTCGGGTCCCTTCGCTCTTGGTGTAGTCGTTTTCTTTCCTTTGCCATCAGGTCTAAGGGGGGGGGGGGATTCCAGCAATGACTCCCATCGCGTCTCTGGACACCGTGCAGTAGGCGGAGACAACTCTCAGGTTCATGCGTCTCTTTATCTTTAGCAGCCATCCTGGATTGCACATGTCGTTCCCCCAGAATGGAGAGCCATACAACATTATCGAGTGGCCACACTGCTGAGTAGTTTCCTCTTCGTCGGCTTCGCCGCACTCAGGTTTGGCATTATTCTGCTTAGTCCTTGGACGACCTTTCCTGCTTTGGACGCAACTGTCTTCGCGTGATCCATGAACCGCCATTTGCTATCTATTTGTATGCCCAGATACTTGATGCAGCTACCATATGTCACGCGGTGGCCGTCTATTGTGATGTTCATTTCGTTGTGGGTCCTCGTGTTTGTTATAATCATGGTCTCGACTTGTGTACCGATAGTGATAGCCCAGTTCTCGTGAGCCAATCGTGGACCTTCTGTGCCGAGCTGGAGAGCAGTTGCTCTAACTTGATGGAGTCGGGTGCCTTCGCAACGAGTGTAACGTCGTCTGCGAATGCCAGCAACTCGACGCCGGGTGGCAGGCGTGTTCGCAGAAGACCGTCGTATAGTATGTTCCACATGGTGGGCCCTGTGGTACTCCGCAGGTGACGACTATCTCTTTCTCGATTCCTCCTGTCTCATAGCGCATTAGTCGATTTTCCAGATAGCTGTGGATGATCCGTTGGAGGTATCCTTGGACTTCCTTCTCACTGATGGTGTTCCATGGAGCGGAATTAAAGGCATTTTTAATGTCCAGTGTCAGTATGCCCACTTTTGATTTGTCGCTTTTGATTGTTGCCCTTAATACGTTCAGGGCGTCGATAGTAGACCGCCCTTTTCGGAACCCGAATTGTCTGTCGCGTGGACCGTCGTTGGTGTCCAGGTGTTGCCTCAAACGATTTTCCAATACCTTTTCGAAGAGTTTTCCAAGGCAATCCAGATGAGGACCAGCCTGACTTTCTTCCATGTCTTCGGGAAGACCCCGCTGAATAGACATGTATTGTATACTCCGGTCAGTATGTCCGGGTTTAGCGACACGACTATTTTCAGGACTTCATTCGGAATGCCGTCCGGGCCGGGGGAGATGTTGGCCTTCAGGCTTCTGGCCGCGATGATGAGCTCCGTGTGGTCGATCGGTTGTATTTGCTCGTCGCTAACCGTAGTTGGAGGGAGTTCGGTGTCGCTTCTGATGGGGTGCTGGGGAAACAGGCCATCCACGATGCGTTGCAGTCGTCTTGGCGTGTTTAGTTCGGGGATCGGTGGCGGTCTTGCGAGTTTGCCCATGATAAACTTATAAGGCAGGCCCCATGGGTCGCTCTGAACTAGGTCGCAGAGATTTTTCCTGGCGGTTTCCTTGGCCCTCTTTATAGGTCAAACTAGGTCCCGTTTAGCAGTCTTGGCTTCTTGTTCCTCGGCTACGCTGGCAGCGGGACCGTGTCGTTTTCTTTTTCGTTGGAATACTCTGCGGAAGTGGTTTGCCGTTCTGCAGAGGGAGTTTATCTCTGGGCTCCACCAGTGGACAGATTTTCTAGGATACTTTCCCGTGTAGATTGGTCTGCGGCATGATTGTATAAGTTCCTTCAGCGACAGCGCCTTTTGCTCGGCGTCAGTGGAGTCGAGAAATGGGTGGTGGGTCTCCGGGGCGAGTGCCATCTTTAGCGTTTGCAGATCTATCTTTGGTATTCTGGGAGTGTCGTGGTTTGGGGAACCGGTGTTGATTTCGAACCACAGGTAATAATGGTCGCTGAGCGATTCTTCATCGAGTACCGTCCACTTGGTTATTCTCTGGGCAGTGCGTGGGGTTGTGATGGTGAGGTCGATGATGGTTCCTCTGTTGAAAGTGCACGAGTTGCCCTTGTTGCAGACCACCAGTCCCGTGGCGTCGATCAGGTCTGCTAGGATTTCTCCTCTTCTGTCGTTTTGCGGGCACCCCCAGTAAGTGTGTTTGGCGTTGAAATCGCCCGTGAGGAGGATTTCTGTATTCGCACTCCTTATGCTAGCTTCGAGTCTGCTGGTGAAGTCTTTGTATTCTTGAAACGTGCTGTTTGGAGACCAGTAGCCTGAGTATATTCTGAGGCCGCGATCGCACACCCAACTGAAACCCGCTTCCGTACAGCCCTCATTTTCTAGCCTTGTTTTCTTCACGTTGACGATGGCTGCTTTGTTTGTTGCGTCAGCGTACCAGTGGGGGCCCTCGACTCTGTTGTACTCACTGATGAGCACGAAGTCTGCAGATTTTTCTAATGCTGTCTGGTGCATTAGGGCCTGAGCCGCTTTGCAGCAGTTCAAGTTTATCTGCAGTACTGCAATCATTACTGTGTTGAGGCTCTGGGGGAGGCTAATGGAAGCCTGCTCGCCGTGTGCCTGGGCCTTCTTGTAGGAAGTGCATCTGCTGCTGCCAGGATAGTGATCCGTGGGTGCTTTGTTGTCCTCGCAAGCTACACATCTGGGCGGGTTGCTGCACTCTGCCGCTCTGTGCCCAGTTGTTGCACACAGACTGCAGGCGTCGCGGTGGTCTATCCTGTTACACTTGGCCCTCGTATGTCCATAGCCGAGACAATTGAAACACCTTTTGACATTTTCGCGTAGACGGACTTTGGCCCAGACCAAACCTATGCGCACCTTGCCCGCTTTGATGTTCGGTACGTCGATAGATTTCATAGTTGCGGTGGCTCTCCTCGTGCCGTTGGGATCTAGTCTTACGTTCTTAATTCTGATTGAACTATCCGTAGCCGGCAATCCAGCTGCTTTTTTTAGGGCATCAGCCACCTCGGAGTCGGCGGTCACTCCGTCTAGCCCGGTGATGTCCAGGTCGACGTAGCTGACCAGTCCTCTGACCGTTGCTCGGTCTCCTAGCGCGTCCCTGATAGCTGTCTCGAGGCCTCTTCTCTTGGTCTCGTCTCTGGTGACTGATCAGAACCTCGCCACCTTTGCTCTCAGCAATAGAGGTAATGTGGGCCCCCGTCTTGTCGAAGTCAACTTCCTTTCTCACTGCTTTCAGGATGTCTGCAAATGTGTGATCCGTGCCAGGCTTGATGGCGATGGCGTCTGGCGGAGGACGTCTGGAACGTTTGCTGGCGGCCTGTCTACGGCCCTCTTCGTTGAGGAAGCTTGTTGCTGTAGGCTTGCGTGGCTTTTTTTTGTTTACCACTGTCCATTCGTCGACGACTGGGTCCTTGGAGTCTGGCTCAGAGCTATCTGTGGCCCGGGGTTGCATTTGGTTATGCTGCCGCTGTTGGGGCTTGTTCGGCCTATGGGTTTGCTGCAGTTGTTGTTGGGACAGCAACGCCAGTGCTTCGCCCTGCTTTTCTATCATCATTCTGAGTTTGTTGATGGCGGCTCTGTTCTCTTCCAGGGCTGGCATGACCCCTGCTGTTGGGACCTTCTGTTCGCTGGACCCTCTGGTCGCTGTTTTCTCCGCGTCGTAGAATGCATCGTGAACGCCGGTTGTGGACGATTTTAGGTTCTCTGCCGATTTGATAGCGAAGTCAATAGCTTCCATTACTACTGGGGATTTGGTTTTTTCCCGACATATGGACAGGTGTTCAATAGACGCAAGTATGCCATTGATTTGCTTATATTGATACTTGATAGTTCTCTTAAGGTTCCCTAGAGCCGTCTGAATGCTTGGCTGCTTCTCTTTGCAGGTGTTCGATGAAATCAGCATGGCATGAAGTTTGCTGTCAGCACTAGTAGCATTGGGGCTACCAGGGGCCTGGCTGTCCACCCCTGCGGGACGTACTTTCTTATAAGCTTCGAGTTCAGCCTCCCGAGTTCCCATCCCACAACCTCTTGAGCAACAACAGCGTTAGGACTGTCTTGGGCCTGGCTGTCCACCCCTGGAGTCCTGCGGTCGTGGGATGACGACCGCCGGGAGCCCGCTTGCTCACTCCCGGCTGCCGGCACCTGGGGGTCCGAATCCCCTGGTGCGGTAACATTACTTCCGTCGTTGACTTCCATATGTAGTTTTTGAAGGGTGCCTCTCCCTTGCGTTTTAGCCCTACCGCCAGGGGGATTTTAGGTCAGTGTTGCCTTTACCTATGTCCGTTTGCAGGCGCTTGCAAGTGAACGGCCTGCCCGACCAGTTAAGGTCAGGCTCTGTGTGTAGGTCTAGTTTAGACTGGGATCGCTTAGTAAGACTCAGTTAAGAGCCCTCGAAGCTCCCCGCCACGACAAGGCGGATCCCGTGGGGAAACCTAACCTAACCTAAGACAAGGAGGCAATATTAAAGGATTTAAAATTGAAAATTTTTAAAAAATATTCACTGAAGTCATGTTTTATTATTTTTTAAAGAAGACAACATTACAATTTAAGTATATCAAATAGCAATTCAATTTAAAAACAAAATATATTACAGATAACAAAATAAAAATAAAAAGGAACTTCTCGTCATCAAATATTAGTTTGGTACCTAATACATTTTAAGCAGTGTTTAGGTTTTTTTTACATATCACAATTAAAAAACAAAATAAATATTTATACCTTTTCTTGATAAAAGAGTTAAGACAAAACTCATAAGATATTAAAATAGAAATAAAAATATAGCCAAGTTCATGACATCTATAAATGGTATTTTTCATTTTTCAGTCATATTTAGTTAGTAACATATAATATATATTATACTTTGGTTAGTTACAATTTAGTTATTAATTAGTTTATGTTTTAAAAATCATCTGAAGCATCTATTTCTTCTACGTTGGGTTGATTTGATTTTACATTCAGAAACCTATGCACTTTTACCAACTTTGCTGCTGTTTCGTGTCCCAATCCGTTCCTTAACTTTGTCCACACCAGACTAAAAGTAGAAAAAATTCTTTCAAGTGATGCTGAGCTTGGTGGAACACTTCATAAACTTGAATAATATGAGCAAAAGTCTGGAGGTAACCTAGCTGTTCTAGCTGTGCGGTTGATCATTAAATTCCACCATACACCGGGTTTATTTTCATATGTTTTCAATACCGTATCATTAAACATTGATGAGCGAAAAAATGTTTCAAAATGTGTAGCCAAAAAAAAAAAATAAATTATTATATAAATAATTTTTTTGTGGGTTATATGATTGGTTTAAATGGGTTTTTTTTTAAATAAAACCCATTTAAACCCACCCTTTAATAATTCTTCAAAAAACCCTTTGTGATTTTGGGTTTTTTTGGGTTTTATGATAAATTACTCAATTTAACCCAACCCAGTCAGGTTTTATTAAAAAAAAACCAAGTTTTTTCCAACACTGAGGCTAATCCAAAAATCAACTTTTTGGCACTTAGCCCGTTATTGATTACAAGTCCTCAAGTTGCAATAAAAATACAAGAACCAATACAAAACTGGTGACGACATGCAAATGAAAGATTTACAAAACAAAATCAACAAAATGCGAGTTATGTAATTATAAAAGTTTATATGATCATTAATTTTTGCTTGCAATTTCAATTAATAGGTATAATTAATACTTTTTAGGAACCAAATTAAAAGTTGCCGTAGTTGTAACTTGTAAACAACTTACAAACTTTAAATATATATGTGACCTATTTTTTATTTTTTTATTTACCATGTTATTTGCCTGAGCGTTCATTTATACTGAATTATTATTATTTTTTTTAACTTATGAATTCATACTACCATAATTTAAATATTTATTACCCTGTGGCTGTGGCAATAATATATACTTTGACTATGTGTTAATTATAAGACTGTTGTATACTTTTATACTAATCAAATGAATGTAATTTTATTGTATAACTATTGCTATCATAGAAACATTTTTAATTAAATATTTTTTTTATCTTCTGTTTTTATAATAACATAATAATTATACCTAAACAGATTATTTGTTTTGCTTTTTTGATACATTTTTGTTCGAATTGAGTTTTTAGTAGTTACTTATTTTGTAGTTTCAATTGATAATTTATGAATTATTGTTGAAAATGTGACTTTTAAAATGTATTAATCATAAATAGTACCTTTTTTACACTTTAATATATTGAACTTTTATTGTGTTAAATAAACTAAATGTTTGAAACGTGATTAAATTAAAGTTATTATTTACCTACACTGAAAAATAAAAGCAATTTTTATACTCTTTAGTTACACAGATTTTTTTTATTGAGTTATGTATTATGTACTTATATATTTGATTTATTTAATATAATAATTTTGTAGATTTTAACCCATGTACTTAATATGTAAAATACAAAGGTACTTAAACTAAAAGTTACTTAATTTTGTAGGTATCTGTATATTTTGGTACTGTGTAACTGTCAAACTATAGATTATGTCAATTAATTGTCATGTACTATCTACAGATAAGATTTGTCAACCCAATTTATTTTAAAAATATAATAACAAGTATAGTGGAAATATCGTTTCATTTATACTGTAACGGGAGACTTTTTTCCGTGGGACTTTTTTTACCGTTTACCTAACAACTTAATGTGCACTGTTATATGAGTTTAGACTGCTTTGCTAAATTTTGTTGTCTTTTTTTTCTCGATTGGCATTCTCTGCATCACATACAAAATACATTCTGGATTGTAAATAAAATGTTATAATATTTTTTGTAAACGCATTCATCAATCATCAAATTAAAAGTAATATTATTAGGTTTATATTATTATTTTAACTGATAATATTATATTATTCTAGTCACTATTGTAGATATTATATCTTCTCTACGTCGTGCACGCAAGGTTGGTTTACCTATAGATTATGGGCTCCTTCACACGTAGCCACTCGGCAGCGCTTCTTAGCAGCACGTCAGTGGCGCTGCATATTTTTTTAGAAGCGCGTAAGTGGTGCCACTAATATTTTTAGAAGCGCGTTGGTGGCGCTACCAAAATTTTTAGAAGCACGTTAGTGGTGTTGCTAACGTGCGTCGGTAGACAATATTTGTGAACACAAGAGCACTACATCATTCTCAAAATGGACGTGGAAACTGAACTATTGTTGGCGATGCTATTAATTAAAAAAAAGAAACGTAAAAATACACCGAGAAGATTCTGGGTGAATCCATTGCTTCTAGAAAGACCGAACAAAGGATTATTTTATACACTGTTTGATGACTTGGAAGGAGATGATGAAAAATTCTTCTCATATTTTCGTATGTCGAAGAATACATTCAATGGACTCATTTGGACTTTGTCAATTTCTTCTGAGACCATTTGGTGGAAAATATTTGTCTGTGGGTAAAAAATATTTAATTACCGCCTTACAAGAGCCAGAAGATACATCGAATGCAGTTTTGGAATACTTAGTAATAAGTGGAGAATCTTACATCGTGCACTTAATGTTGAAGAAAGTTTGGCAGAAAATATAATTAAAACGTGCTGCCTTTTACACAATTTTGTGAGGGACAGAGATGGCATTACATTTGAGGATACTATCGCTATTAGTGGGTTGATTGAAGATACGACAGTGGACAATTCTCAACCAGGAAATGCAATCAAATGCGTTCGAACAGAACTTATTGATTTTTTTATGAAAGAGGGACAAGTATCGTGACAAATGGAAAAAATATAAATTTATTTTATTTTATTCACTAGTTTCTGTATTTCTATTATCATTATTATTTTTTTTTTTTAATTTATGATATTACAATTAAGTATTTTTCAATAAATGTAATTTTTTTCTATAACTGTGGTATTGCTATAAATAACTATTATATTAGT